TATAATGTAAATTTACATAATATCCTTCGTCACGGATATTAAAAATGTGCAACAATAGCGGTGCTTGCGTGATTTTCTCTTCCTGTGAATGTTAACATGTGTGTTCTGTTAAATTAAATAAGAATGTATCATAGAAACGCAATAAATAAATGAATAAATAATCGGAATTTTTTCATTTAAAAAGACCGGAACCGAATATTAGCTGAAAAACTTTGAACGTTAACCTTCCTATCCGATTTTTTAAGCAAAAAAGATATGGATGAATTTTCCCATTATGTTATTCCCCCATAACACACTAATGGGGGTATTTCTCCAATTGGGCGCCGTCATGACAAAATGACCCTTCGGGCAATTTTCTTCGATTTTTTGGTTTCATAATTTTCATAGAAACCAATTATTACAGATGATTTTACTTTTTATTTGATGAAAATAACTTGAAAAATGACAAAGATATATCTTTTTATGTACATAGACCAATGTGTTGCTCCGACGTCGACGACGACGTTTGTTTAAACGTTGAACGTTTTAAAGAACGTCGTGGTTTATTGCCGAATTGCCTTGTGTTAAGAATGGATTGTGTAAGAACCAATAAAGACAGTAACTCCAAATGAATTTATTTTACAGTCCTATGAAGTTACAAACTTCAAAATCATAAAAATAAAACGATAACGGAAGAAATCACATAAACGGATCAGCACTTATGTACCCAGTATATTGGTTAATTTACGATTAACAAAATTTTATAACTTGAAATATATAGATCATTCTTATATCAAATAAATATCTAGTTTATTGATAACAAATCTAAGGACTAAACATACAGACAAAGATAATGCATGTATACATTTGTACATGTAAATCTAAATTGTCATTCTTCCCGTAACGGTGGGCACGTCACATCACGATACGCCTGACGTACAAAAGGTCGTACATTTTTGTACAGGTATTGCTGCCTTGCGCGGGAAAGTCCACCCGGTAGCAAAACTGCAGGGAGAATATCTTCTGGTACTGTAGCATTTCTCTTTAGGATTGTGACCTGCTGCTCTACGTCAGTTAAGCGCTCTTTCACGTATACAGCATCCTTCGTAACACGGAAATAGTGATACCGCTGTATACCCCTTAATGGTAAAAAGAAGCGCGGCAAAAATGTCTTCCAGTCATACCTGTAACATATGTTGACTAGTTAATATTATGTCAATCATAAACTACTTGATAATTTACAATGACAAGCAATCATTAATACACGTACAAGTAATATGACAGCATATATGCCGAGCGCCGAATTGAGCTCTCTATTAATTTGTTTAGTTGTTTTATTGTACAAACTTATTTAAATGGGGTGTAAATTTTAGAAATTCAAAATTTGTAATAGAATACCAAGTCCAATTCTGACATCCATCCTCCTTGCGGAAGAGCACGGGGAAATTGCTTGAAGCAGACTTTCTCACGACAGATGCCACCTGCGAAATACTGTCGCAGTCCGTGCGTCTATACAGCTTCTTGATATGTCCAAATCCTCCATCCACAAGACACCTGGAATCGAAAAAAAAACTATATGAGCCGTATCATGACAAAACCAACATAATGGGTTTGCGACCAGCATGGATCCAGACCAGCCAGCGCATCCGTGCAGTCTGATAAGGTTCTAACTGTTCGCTTACCAAGTCTATTACAAGTAGAGAAACTGATAGCGAACAGCATGTATCCTGATCAGACTGCGCGGATGCACAGGCTGGTCTGGATCCATGCTGGTCGCAAACGCACTATGTTGGTTTTGTCGTGACGCGGCTCATATAAAAATTGCTTATTTATAGTTTATGTTGATTTATTTTTATTTCTATAGGAACATGATGATTGCAAGTAGATTTGTTCTGGAATAATCGATTTGTTCGACAGTGTTTTAGTTTTAATCTTATGGCCAGATTGTCTCTATGGCATGCATAAAATATGCCCGCTGGTGTGCAAGCACATACATGTTTAAACACATAAAAAATAGCAAATGATCGTTTTGTGCAGACCAGAATTATTGTAGAGGACTGTCATAAACTAAAATACAATATATTTTTATTTCAACATTTAAACAAAACTTAAAAATTAAAAACTATGCTTTGTAAAATGTAGCATTTTGAATATAAAACGGAATGTTCAGTGCTTTACTATTATCTAATTAAAAAGACATTTACGGAAAAATACTCACAACCACAGTTGTCAGCGTGCATGATGCAAGCTTTCTCTCCAAATCCCTGGTTTTCGAGGCAATGATGTAGCATACTTATAACTGAGTTTGGCCCGTGTGTCCCTGTACCATCAGCACCTGTTAATTTACATCAATTCTAAATATATTTCATATTTCGACAGCACACATTTAAAATGACATTTTATTTATTATAATTATGTTTATATGAAATTAATATTTTACAAAAATGAAAAGCAAAATATCTGTATTATAGAAAAAAGCAAAATTTATTTACTTATTTATTTATTTATTTATTTATTTATTTATTTATTTATTTATTCTTTACATACCAATTGATTCATCCTCGTCTATAAGATAATTATATTGTTGTGACACAGAATCAACGCGGACGCCAAAAATTTGTATTTTCCTGCCAGTAACAAAATACAAAGGACCCATTTGTTGACTATGATGTGGTATTGTCACATTTTGAGAATAGTCGAATGTATAGTGCACTTTTGATAAATCACTAGTGCATGGCTGGGCAGGTCGATTGACTGTGACTGATGTGTGCCTCATTTCCTCACGAGCCTCCTCTATTGTCTGTCTATAAACCTGTCGCTCTCTCTGTGTGTCCTACATAGTTTGTGTAAATAAACAAAAAATATAAACAAATCACTCCAACTCTATAATTATTAACCTTTCAATAAAATATCTATAAACATGTGATGCTAGTAAACACAAATATTTTCTGAATAAATGTTAAATTGTTGATAGCAAATTTGGTATCACATGTATCAAACTATAATTCAATCGATATGTCAATAATTTCAAAAGTATGGTTCCATTATGGAGGCAAATAATTACCGCAAGAACTTTGTACGGAAAAATCAGTGTCACTAATAAACATATTGTAAAAGGTGATCCTTGAAAGCATTAATAACAACAAACTGACATGAAAATTGCAGACTTGTTTTGATTAATTAAGCGTAATAGGTTGTTAAAGTCAAATCAGGATGTTTGATTCAATTCCGCTGTCGAACGGATTTTAAATTTTATTAACGCGTAATAAAATGAATATTACCTGTATGTTCTCGTAAATCGTTTGCTGCCTCAAGTTTGTTCATCTCATTTATAGCATCAGCCACCCGTTTTCTTATTATCTCGCACTTATGACAAACGTCATCTTTTGCCGTCATTATCTTAATGTGTGGAAGGCATTGCTTCCAAACACATTTAAATGTAGTTATACCAAGACATCTTACGCCGGCTTCTACACATGCTTGTTGGTATTTTGAATGTAAATCCACTTTTGTAGTATTACATGGTAACAGTATAGGTGCAGCCTCGTCTGCTCCGCGTGGTGCTGCTGGCATTGTTAACCCGTTGATTTCTGCATATAATAACAGGAAATCAACACAGAAACGCACGTCCTCGTACTTAACTGCAAGGCTTGGCTTTCTCCCGGTATTCCCATGTATTCGCGGCACCGGTCCATTTGAATTTAAATGTTTTAGTAAAGATTTAACAGTTCTCTGCCCAATATCATTAATGTGGCAGAACACAGATTTACAAACAGTTTTGCCATCAAATGTATATTTATATCTAACTCGTTTACGTTTACCTTTCCTGGTTTCCTGTGCACCTATTTTCAACAGACTTCCCATAACAAACATCTCCTTTTGGTCTTTCTCCATTTCCCTGAGAGACAATATATGCCCTTGAATGTGTTCAGCATCAAACTGCGACAAACAATTGGTCTTACACTTACATTGTACACTTGTGACATCATTATCGTCCGACTCTGATTCAAAAACGCCCTCGCCCCTCTCCCCATCTGATCCTTCCGGCATGCCCTCTGCAGCACTGTAGACAAACTCGTGGACACGTCCAATGATTGTCTCTGCATGTTGGTCATCATCATCGTCTCCCCACTCTCCATTTAATTCGTCCTCTGTTACATGTGCATTTGACCCCTTCTCGACTGTCTCATTAACAATGCCAAATTCCTCATATAACTCATCTAATTCCTGCGTTTAAATAAAGTAAAAAAAATATAATAATCTATTGATAAAATTTTATGATCGATGATAGTTATAATCGATATAATCTAGAATAAAATATAAAATGATAAATGTTGTCCCAGTTATCCAGTTAAAATAACTCAGGTACGATAGTAAATGAGGTAATATTAACAAATATTTTCCCTTCTTACAAAATATCTATGAAGCACTGTTACAGGTACAATTTCAATTTATTTAATGAATGCATACTATAAAAAAAAAAAAAAAAAAAAAAGTGTGATTTAAGGTTACGAACTTCGGTCCTCTAACATGTTAGTCCTTCACTCTCCCGACTGCGCTACAGAGACTATAGTTACTCACTAGTTATATTTCTATAGTATAGTAAATCGATCGATAACATGAACGATTACTCTTGGTCTGTAACTATGTTACGAAGGGAGGCAATTCCTTTGTATATACTGTTGCTAAGAAGTAAAACCACTGAAAATCGGGATTATTCGATAAAATTCACATTTTAAACTTAAATACTTGGTGTTATATATTACATTCAGGATGCAAGTTGACAAATAAAAACATAATTTCACCATAAATAACCTCATTTTTTAACTGAAGCGCTCAAATCATCTGTCAAATTTGACAGCAGACGCAAAATCCCGGATTTGCTAACTTATTCTGGAGGCTGTTTTCAAATTATTTCTCTGTTTTAAAAATTAACAAAGGATTGCAAAAATGATGACGGTTCATTTGTGAAACATTTTAGCAATTTTATAGCTGTAAAATTGTTGCTTTTTTGCTTTAAGGGAATATCAAGAGGAAAAGCGAAAGAAACATTGAATTGTCATTTCGTTGGTAAGATTGCAAGTTGCCACTTGACAGAGGAAACATTTATTATTGACAATAGTGTTGAAGATGAGAATATAATAAGACTACGAAAGCATATATTTGATGCTGCAGCTGGGCAGGATTACTGGAAAGAAGACGTTCCAGCGAAATGGGTGACTTTAGAAAATGTTATCATGAAGCTAAAAGATGAAAAAATGAAGGTTTGCTTGATATACACAAATTTTTTACACAATTTTTATAATTGCTTAAAGAAATGTACATCAGATCGCAAAATATTTGGTAACCATTTTGTTGTCCACTCAATTTATTTCAAACTGTTTTTTAAATTGTTTTGAAATAAATTGGTTCGCATAATGACCCTTATGATTCGATATAAATAGCATAAACAATATGTCACAACCCCGTTTAAAGGTCAGATAAACAGAATTCAAGTCAGTGTCCGCTCCTTACTTACAGTGGACAGTTCATCTCTATCTTTGACCACGTATTTTCAAAACGTCGAGTAAGGAATCACAAGAATATATATTGGTGATCGTCTAACTAACCAGTGAAGCTAAAAACATAGATACAACTGATGTTTATACAATATTAGAGAAGCGGAGCGGAGACGTATTTCTATAGCCGACGTGCAGCAGCTAGAGCAATAATATCGTATCTTAGTATTCCCGAAGAAGCCGGGCTTTTAAGGGATTTACTTAAAGTACTACTGTAACATTCGATTTCAAACCAAAAACTGATTTCTGATGCGACGTACCCTGCTAATAAAAGAATAAATGAAGCGCCATCCACCAAAATACTTCTCCTAAATGAGAGCTAAATAATCTGCTTCCTAAAGGACAAGATAATATCTAAACAAAACGTTTTACTTAAAATGAATTAACCTGGTCCTTCTTGCTTTGTCGTGTCCAAATCACAACAGTTTCAGAATAAATATTAATGTTATCTATTTATATTATTTCAGTTGATACGAAAAGAAAAACTTCAAGAATTGAATCTGGCCTTACCAGCACCACTTGAAGATGATGAGCTAGAGTTGTATCTACGTTTTCACCATGAAGCAGGAAATATTCTATATTTTAGGTCTAAAATTTGATTGTTATTTAACAAATATTTTTCATTTATCAGCCTTTTTTCTATGCCAGAAACAAAACAATAGCTTGTTTTGTTATGCACCTTCCAGTACATTCATCCATATGTTTGTTTGCAAAATCTTGTCCCCTTTTTATCTTTTGAACTGGTTGGATGAAATAAAAACTGTTACTGTGCCGATGTCTGATCTTCCTAAATGTTTAGGTCATCTTTAGTAATAATGTATGAATTACAAAATTAAGTGTCTCTTCCGTATCTTTTGAACCGATAAAAGGAAATTGTTTACAGTTATATTACTGATGATAAGACGATAAGTAGAACGGTGGTCTGACCTTCCTATTATATCAGGAAAACACTTTTATAAGTTTTATTTTTGTGAAGCCATATTTAGATACTAATTTGTTATGGTGGTTAATTTTGTACATTGCGCGTTGCGTTATCGATACCGACAACGCAACCTATATCGTTATCGCCTTTTCGTCTTGTTGCTAGCGAAAGGACGACAAAGCGCGACAAGGCACGTTTTGCGCCGTCGTCTTGTTTTGTTTCTAGCGAATCACGCCAAACGGCGCGTTGTGGTGTGGTGCGGCGACTTGTCGCAATGTTGCCCTGTTGTTTGGCTTATAAGCCAATCCTTCGATTTAAACTGAGCGACAATGTGGCATCGCGGCAACAAGCCGCATGACAACGCGCCAACAGGATGCACAAAAGCGTTTCAAATTATTATTTGTAGCATTTACTTGTGGATCTCTACAAAGTTGATAAAAATCATGCTCTTTGGATAAAATTTCAATACCAATAGCTTTGATATTTGATATGTAAAAGTATATGATGGCCTTCAACAATTCTGATCCCTGACCACTGAACCGCTCTGGAAGTCATGTTTCTAAAGACTTATATAATGATAAACATATCTTGAAATACATTTACGCAAAACTTAAAATACTGAAAATAAACATAATGTACAATGTAGGAATTTACATATATATTAGCCTGAGGTCAAAATTCGCCCTTCATTGAGACCTCTATTACGTTGACTAATGTATCTGAAAAAAAACGAGATTTCTACTTAAGCTAGTGCTAGGGTCATGGACTGTAGTTTGAACTTGACAACAGGTTCGATCTTACCGAGCCTGCAACATTTTCAAATTTGTTTTTTTTTACTTTCTTTAGAGATTGTTATTTTCTCTATTTTGTTATTGGCATATATCATTAATTAATAATTTGTCTTCTACAAAATATATATTATGCATTACGCTGAGGTCAAATTTCTCTGTCTTTGGGGTCCCCATGCTTTATGTAGTCTATGTAGACTGATTTTTGAAAGAAAATAAATGAAATGTTTTTGTTGTCATAAAACAGTAATAACAGCTTATATATTTGGCAAAAAATCTTGTAAAAGTGTGATCCCCCGGAAGCATTAATCACATTAAAATTACATACTAGTAGAATTTCAGACTCGGTTTGATAACTTTGTCATGCACTGAGGGGTTAAAACACTTTGCACAAAAGTCTGCCACATCAACCGATGTGTCGTGTCAAAGAACGATATCCTACCTCAAAGGTCAAGGTCAAACTCAAACTTTGAAAGAGTTTTAATGTACACATTGTGTCCGGACTGTAACTTATTTTAAAATACCTTAGCATACATGTCTACCACTTTAAGACAACGTGTTGCGTCAAAGTCCTATGTCCCTCCCTCTAAGGTCAAGGTCATACTTTTAGTTCGAATGTTCTCATACTCAAGAGAAGCGTTTGAAAGTGCACATTCTTGTCCGGATTGTAACTTTGTCATATATTGAAGGATTTGAAAATGACTTGGCACAAATTTCTCCCACATCAAGACCAAGCGCCTTGTCTAAAAGGTCAAGGTCTCACTAGAACGTTCACAATGTTCACAACTTACACAACAATTGTGTCTGGACTGTAACCTTGTCATGCATTGAAGGAGGTACAAATACCTATGCACAAATACATATATACCTCATCATGGTGATATTGCATCTTAGACCGATGTCCCTACAACAAATGTCAAGGTCACACTTACAGTTTCAACGTTCACATTCTCCGAATTAAAGATTAAAGGAACACACATTTGTGTCCGGACTGTAACTTTGTCATGATGAAAGGACTTTAAAATAACGTAGCATATATATCTTACACATCCATCCAAACGACATGTCTCATTCAAGACTAATTTTCCAACCTCAAAGGTCAAGGTCACACTCACAAGAGCTTGAAAGCACATATTCATGTCAGGACTGTTACTTTGTTATGCATTGAAGGATTTTAAAATAATTTGGCACAAATGTCTTCCACATCAAGATGGTGTGACGCGTCTAATGCCACTGTCACTATCTAAACGATCGATGTCATACTAGGAGGTTGAAGACACTTTTGTGTCCAGATAGTAACTTTGTCCTGTATGGAAGGGTTTTAAAATAACTTTACACAAATGTGAAACACATCATTTTGGTATGTTGCTCAGGTGTGACAGCCCTAGTTTGTTATTGTTTAAAATGAAGTTAGTCATCTTTTAACATAGAGGCCTTTTTATAGCCAACAGAGAATTATAAAAGCGCAATAATTTGCCCCTCGTCTTACATCTACGATAAAAGTCTATCTGTTCTATATAACTTGATTGAAGCATATATAACCTACGAGACAAACTGTTTTTAAAAAATGCTTTAATAAAAGAAATTAAATTTGGGCTCTCTTGAATTAAATAGAAGGCCAAATTGAATTTCCGACATACATTATTTTCAGAATATCCTGGCTTCCAGAATTATTTTGAACAGATTTTAAGAAAGTTACACTAATTGACTAAACACAAATTAAATGTAACAATTTGGAATTGGCCTTATGCCAATGTGAAAGAGCTCTACCATCTTGCAAATTTATATTTGATGTTAATTTTTCAGTCAGGAAAGCTTGACAAAACATGTAATTATAGATCCACAATGGTTGATTGACGCATTTAAGAGTATAACAATGGCAGGTGAAAAGTGTTCAAATGAAAGGAAAACAAATGTTGCTGCAATGTGGAGAGAATTTAAGAAATCAGCGATATTAAAGCCGGAATTGATTGGTATTATTTTCCTATTCACGTTACCATTATTTAGCTTATCTGTTTATAGTGTATAAAACTTACTTTTGTGATCACCTGTTTTCAATACGTAAACCAGGCAAAGCATATTCATGAGATGAAAAAGACTTGTATCAGTAAACAAACATTAGATAAGGTTTGTATCAAAATATCATTGTACTCTTTTCAGCAATAGCTTTCGATTATGTTACGTGAAACAAAATTGTCGTTTAGAGATATGCGAGTAAAACCTTGACCTTAAATATTGATTGATATAAAATTGGCAAGAAAGTTTATAATTGATAAAAGGATTTTATTATTACTCCAAAAAATAATACCTAGGAAAAAAAGAGGATCAATTTCAACAAGGCGTAGGCAACGTTCACAGGACGCATTTAAGTCTATTCATTAAAACGGTGCTAACTTGCATTAAAAAGATAAATTCTTAACTTATCCTGAAACTTATGTAAGTGTTAAATCACCAAAGTACAAACCTTCTAGAAATAATGTGCAAACAGTTTGAACATAAAAAGTCCACCTTTCAAGAAATATTTCTTCATATTAAGCATGTGTAAATTAAATTTAATTTCGTTATGAATTGTCCATTACGGAAACAACATTACAAAAATGTAATTTAATTTAACTGTCAGTATGCAAAACCTATTTAAGAACTTTTCACGTATTTATTTCCCCTTTTCTATTTTTTTTACAATATGCAAAATTAATGTATCGTTGATACTATCATTGAATTCATTTGTGCTTTTTTTCAACCATTGAATATACATGTTATTATATTTTTTTGCCATAATAAACAATCAGACTTTATTTAGGTATAAAAATTAAACGCCTTTGTTGCGGAATCTGTATACAGACTTTAGAACATATAACTTAACGTATGAAGCAAATATTTATCATGTCACCTATCATTACAAAGAAACTGTGAGATATAACGGACATTTCATGCTTATACATTTTTGACAGCTTTTATTTCGTAATTATGTAATTGAATGCGTTTGTTGACCTACGTTTTGAATATCCTAAAATGAAATTTATAAATTACAATGTTTAATTTGAATGTCTTTATTCACCCAGCGCAAAAACACTAATATTTTGCCAAATTGTTGTTAATACTGTACACAATTACAATAATAATATAAAGTACGAACAATATTCCAGAACAAATTTTATTTAACATGAACATGTTCTTTAACCTTATTTGAAAACTATTTAAAGAATTATCTATAATGTAACTGTTAACAGCTGAAACGAGTTTTTAACATAAATATGCCTTAATCTTAAATATCTATGTTTAAAATGTTCGATATTAATGCTATATTTAGCTAACTATGGACATCACGTTTTGAACAAAGTCCTGTAATTAGCATTTAATCGAAAACAGAAATATATTTTTTCTCAGTACCTGTCACTTACTTATTGAAAAGACTGCTTACAACGGATTATATTGATAACAAACATTTAATGATTTACTGTGTTAAAACTAGAACTATACTGAAACATGCTCAATCTAATGATACACTTGTTTTACAGGTTTGCCTAGTACATATATGTACACATAAACAAATGACGCGTTAACTGTTTTATGCAAATAAATTTTCAATTTTTAGCTCCCCTGAGCAAGCTCAGGGTGAACTTTTAGGATCGTTGAATGTCCGTCGTCCGTCCACATTTGTTTGTTCATATTTTTGTCTGACTCATAATCAAACTTTGTAAGAATGCTTTTCTTGGTAATTGCTAGGATGAGTTTGAACATTGGTCATCTCGGTTGAAAAACTAGGTCACAGGAGCTAAAAATAGAAATGAACTGAATCTTGTAAACACTACAGGTTTCTGTCACATTTGGTCGTTAACACTCTTGTTGTCATATTTTGCCTCAATCATCATTAAACTTTGTCTAGGTAATTGATTTCGAACATGGTTATCTCGGATGAGGTCACAGGAGCTAATAATAGACAAACACATTTTTAACACTCTAGTGGTTACATTTTAGCTCGACTTTTTTTTTTTAAATAAGTAGAGGTATTGTTATAGTCCTGGCGGTGTTACCGTTGCCGTCCGCAAACTTATACCTGGATAATAATTTTTTTTTGTTCTTGGTTATTGTCTTCATACTTGGCCACACCAACCCTTATGACAAGATCTTTCAGTAGATCACACCAACCTTGACCTTCATCCATAAATGACCTTGACCTTCAAGGTCAAAAGTCCAAATTGTGCTTATTCTTGCTATTATTGGCTGTAACTTTGTTATTTTTGAAGGGATTGTCATCAAACTTGAACATAATTATCTTCAAGAATAGCCCTTAAAATAACGTGACAGACCTTGACCTTCACTCATAATTGACCTTGACTTTGAAGGTCAAATATTTGAAATTTTTATTCTTTTGACTGTAGCTTTGCTATAATTGAAAGGATCGACTTATTATAATAAAACATTCTTCAGGACAAGACCTTCATGTTTTTTTAAACTCAACTTGACTTGGGCTATTTTGTGACCTTGACCTTGGAGGTTAAATTACTGAATTTTCACTGATTTGTGCATTGTGGGTTGTAATTTTTATGGTGTATTGAATTTTGGTATCAGATGACATACTTCTGATATTTTTGATATCGCTTGACCTACAATGAAATGATGGGTCAGGTGAGCGATCTAGCGCCATCTTGGCCATTTTGTTTCAATATCAGAAGCCGGTCTACTGAGCATTTGACCGGTCTTTCCAGACTTGAAAGGCGGCACAGCCTTGCATAGTATATATGGTTGTCAACCCAAATAACATATTCACGTGATGGCCATTGGAACAAAGCCTTCTTTTTTCAATGAATGAGATTTCACTTGTACTATCATTTTTTTCTGCATTAAGAATTTTACCAATGTACTAGTTTTGCAATATATTGCCAAAACAAAAACACCTTCCTGATAAATGTCGTTCGAACATTAGGCCTATTTTCTGATTGACATGCTTTCTTCTCTCCTTGATTCACATGGAACACCTGTCAAGCATATCTGACAATTACAACTTGTTTCACGGACGACCACATCCCATTAGCTTTGCCGAGCGTGTATTTTTATAGTTCCGGAAATTGTTTTAACAGGCAATTGTTCTATATCAACGTTTGTTCTGACAACTTGCAAATAAAATGAATACAAATCGAAATCTTTGCATCGTACAGGCAGAAGACTGTGTCCCTCGTAAAAGTCAGCCGCATCTTCGTTACTTCTTTTCGGGTTTTTACCTCTTCGTCAGCAATACGCTTAACCGTACGCCATACGCTCCCAAGCCATCACAAGGACCCTTTCAATGACCCGCCCCCAGTAATTCCACTTCGTTTTCACTTGAAATTTTATTTCATGGCAAGCAACAAAATTTATGATCTATTTATTGCGATAATGGGAAGTCGGACCATCGGTTCAATAATTGATACAAGATATATTTGGATTCAACTGTATGATATACGGGATATACTCATCACTCATCGATTATTGTCAGTACTGTGTTTCCATTATAACCCACTGTGTCTGACACTACAATCGTGCCTTTTTGTTGCAGTCCATTTGTCTTTAAGTACACTACAATTGGGTGAAGTGTAACGCTAGTCTGGTTCCAATACGCTGATTAAATTTCATCTACTGACTTGCACATAAAATCCTCACTTAAATCCATGTGCACTCTACATTGGTCATTGGGTAGGTTTTCCTTAAAGATTTTGATATCAGCATACTGATATTAAATTCTTTCAACATGACTTTAAAACTTTTACTTTTGTCTTTACGTGGCCTGAAAATTCAGCCTTTTCATGTTAACATCGACAATTCTCACTTTAAAACTTCTTTTGGACCTTTATTTCAACTTCTATTATTTTCCACTTGCTGACAGCAATATTGTCCACTCTGTCCACTCTCGTACCTACTTATGCCTGGTGTTGCTGGTTTTTGATCATGTTGGTTTCGTGCCAGCTCTTCAGCCTGTCTTTTGTTGTAGCGATAAACTTTCAGATAATCTCTATTTTTGTTACGTGCGTCCCTCTCTTTGTTTGTTAAACGATGGCTAGGTGTATATGACTGTTTCTTTTGCAAGTGTTCTTTCGCCAAATATTGATCGTTATTTTTCTCATTGAGCCTTTGCGTATATACTTTCTGAACCTTAACTCGAGACTTTGGCATACCTGAAAAGTAGGAAAAGGCTAATTGTTTGTTACCACTTATTATGTGTGTATATTTCAAATTGCATATTTCTTTAAACAAAGCTAATATGTACACTAAGCTAAGCAACTACACTTAAATTGTGTGGTTAATATAAGAAATCGTTAACTAAAATATCTCATAATACTTTAAAGTAATAATTGATATCTCAATGTATGATATGTTATTAAAAATAATCCGTTTAAGACGGAAAAATTGCAATTTGACGGTAAAAAGTTAGTATTAAACCTAAAATTTTGTTTAAAAGTGTCCGTTACCACACGATAACGAAAACCTCAAAAAATATTTATGGTATATATTCGCGTGCACTCTTAAAACTTCAAACACACGTATTATTTCTGTTATAAGAATCTGGTAGAAATTTCTTTGCATTCATATATACAATATCTTATATAGCTATGTATAAAAACGAAAATATTTTAAAAAAAAACATAGCGGATTTACCTCACATTTGCAGATAATGGTGAAGAAAAAATATATCAACTTTGAAAGTCAGTAGAAAAATTCTTTCCTGTAATATCATCAATAAATAATATGCATAACTATTATATTAAATTAACATTCAAATTTTGATAACAAACAATTTGAGGTATATTAAGGTCGTTTTTTATAATAACAATACCTTTTTGATTTACCGAAACTAAAAAGTTATGTGAATTAGTCAAACTTAAATCTTTCAATTAAAACGCAATGTATAGACTTTATGGAAGCATAAACCCACCATAGGCATAACGTGTTTTAAAGTGTTTTTTTTCTACGTTGGCTCTTTATAAGTGCTGGTAATAGGTAACATTAGGTAACTTTTAAACATTTAAAATTATCTTAGACAACATATCACAACGATTAATTATACAAATGATTTTAATATTAATGATCTTATGTCTGATCAAAGGATAAAAACATCGTTATAAGATACAGAAAGGACATATCTTTCTCTTTCACGTAAATAAAATTAATTATTTTTTTATATTTCAAACATAAACATTATTACAACAATATGGTTGTATTTCTAATAAAAGTCGATTGTATTTATAGCACCATCGGGCAGCGACGGTAACGGACATGTCTTTTATCACCCTTTGGCGTATTGAATTTTATATATGTAATTTTAAGCAAACTTTCAAACTAAAATAATCAAATTGATTTCTAGATTTTGTATAATTACAGCGATTAACAGCTATGAAATTTAAACCGTGTTTCAGTTTCAGAAAAATATTGAACTTTGATATTAGCTGACCTTCAGTTTGATGAAGCGACCCATATTTTTATAATTAAGCTCCGTGTCCAGGCCGTTTTAATCCATAAATATCGCCCGCGCCCCCGCTATTTATTTAACTTCGCCCCGCGTCCCCGCTAATTAGCGTGTTTTTACTTAGCGCCCCGCCATTTTAATTCTCGCTTTTTCGCTTTGCGGGGTCGCCGGGCGAAATCGCAAATGGCACAAATCATCCACCATATAAATGAAAATAATCGTTTTCTTTTTTTTAAGCTTTTTTATCTTGCATTTATTGGCTTTACGAAAAAGTGAAAAAGTCACTCCGGATTTGGCTCTTGTTATCTTTTATCAAAAGAGTCACCATGAACACTTCAGTACCCAGACTTCAATTCTTATTTGAAGCCTGTTTTAGACCAATAAGTGTTGGTTGAATGATGTACCCTGATAAGCTGCAAGGTCTAGAAAAGAAGCACAAAATATGGAATAAATCAGATATTGACAGCAAATTCACCCTTGTGGCTGAGGGATTGCTTTCAGGGGTTAAGACACCTTTTATCCCTTCGTGATCGTGATTACTTGAGGCTATGTATTTCCTAGCTCCAGCAGGTTATGATGGTGTTACTTCAAGTTTGTAACACCCGAGGTGAGCCAAAATCATTTTCCTGTTCCATTATCATTTGACTTTAAGAGTTGTTGTGACTTAAAACTAAACAAAACAAACAGACAAATTATATTTTCATTAATTGTAAAGGTATTGTTGAAATTGTTGAATGTCAGTGTATATTGCTGTTGGTAAAAAATAATTACAACTAAGTTAAGCAACTTTAACAAATGTTTCTTTGATTAGCCAGGAACTTACTGTCTGTCGCAAAAGAAATCATTACTTTTATTTGCAAATATCTATATGTGCGTATAAGTAAAATGTGAAAAAAATACTACAAACTCATTAAGGGGTTAGAAAAAAATGAATTATAGAGCACATCTATTTGAAATAATAACAGCAAATAAAGGAAAATTGACGACCGTATATAGTTGAGAATGTAAAACTTGTTTAAATATAAATCTTAGATAATTATATGTTTTCAAATTTTATCGATTCGCACAATTGTCTTAGCATTAAAGAATAAAATAGACTTTTAATACATTATTTTCCTTTTTAGCTTATAAATAATTGACCATGACAATGACCATAAACATCAATTATAAGTTGATAATTACAAAACTTATTACTCTTTTTTATTGGGGTAGATGCAATATGGACAGAAGATGACAACATAAATCATTTCAAATCTTATAAAGACTTACTACTAGAATACCTGGAGATATTAGGATTAATTGCTAAACCACACTTTGAGGAAAGCAACAAAATTCAGGTAATAATTTAAAGATATACTATGCTCATCTTTGAGTAAAATATTCTTATCACAGAAATTTATTGAAATCCATGAAAACCTTACTGAATGTTTTTTAATTCCAGTAAAAAAGTTTTCAAATTTTGAATTAAAAGCAGCATTCCCTGTTTAAGGAAAAGTGAAGTTGGTATTTTTTAACAAAAACTGCCAGTGTTTTTAATGACACTATATATTGATATTGTGACCCCTAATAGTGTTTAGAGTTTAAAACATAACATATTTTCTTTGAATGAAGCTGAATCATGTTTATTTAATATTTACAAAGAGGCTGTGTAGTAGTTATCAATATTTTCAAACATCAAATTTGAGCATAGTATATCTTAAAGTGCTTCAATTTGTTATTCTCAAAACAACATAATCAGAAACTATGAGGTGAAATTCAATAAATATGTTAAGGAAAGTAACTTTAATTTTCGTCAAATGTTAAATTGTTTAGTAGCTTAAATACATATTAAAAACGAAATCTTCTAAAATTTATTTTCTCAAAACAATTTTTGACTAGATTGTGTAACGTTTAAGGGAAATGGGCTCAATTGAAATTAATCAAGCACATATAAATCTTATATGAAAAAAAAACAAGGTCTAGAGAATTTTGTTATATCGAAAAGTAGGTAAAACTACATAAATCTTAGCAATCAGTAAAAAAAGATTTCATTTTGTAAACTCTTTTTGCACACCTGACCACAAAATGCATAGAAGAAAGCCTTTACGACGACAATTTGCCTGTCCCCGTCGTTCTTGTTTCGCAACTATACGTGTCAACATAATATCCTTAATTTTTTTGGAAGATTTACATTCGAACTGTAAGACCATTAGTTGGACCTTGAATATGTTTTTAAAGTTCTTAATAAAATAAGGACAGTATCGACCTTTTTCCGAAAGTGCAATGCACAGAACATATATATTTTTCACATGTAGCATTGAGTCTTCTACATAATTACACGATGGTTGAAAAACTAGCCCAATTTCTGGGTCATTTAATAAATGTAGACTTGTCCAAACAATTTAAGGATAATAATTACAGAAAGGTATAGGCTGAAAAAAAAATTTCTTAAGATGGATCAATTAATTTGTTTAAAACACATACAACAACTTAACTTTTAAAAATGTATTTCTTTCTTTTAGGCTAGAAAACCAATTTCCTTGGCCAATGAAAGCTGCAAGAAAGAGGCCCCCAAAAAAAATTAACCTTCAACCCGTTGAATAAAACCAGATGATTGCAAGTTCTTCCATTTAAAACTCTTGTTTTTACACAACATGCAAAACACCCAGAAGAAAGAGTTTTTTACCCAGATGTCATTTTCAACAAATTTTTAGCCGCCTGCATTAAAAAATGGGAATTGGTTTACAAAGGATCAATGCCAGTGGTTTTTTATAAAGGCGCAATTTTCAATCTTAAGAAGGATAATCATGATCTCAATATTTTTCATCATGATCATGTTATCCAGATATGGGTCACCCGGTACAGTTCAGATGGAAAACTCCCATGTTCCGCTCTGTGCAGTGAACTGAAACAAAAAGTTATTAAGATGCTGGAATCAGTCATTAGGAATAAATGCAATATTGAAATGTTCGTAAAATGTTGTAAGTCAAATGTCTTCTCAAATCAATGCATGTTTCCCCTAGTAGAAAACCAAGACTGGGAAAATCGCTGCGACTGTGGAGGTAAAAGACACTGTGTTACTTACAGAGATCTAATGCAGTGCTGGCTGCAAGGTAAAATAAATGTGTACATTATATTAAATTAGCATGCCATAATCAGTAACTAACTACGTACCCTTTAAGACTTTCTGACGTATTTAGTACGGCGTTGTCAGCCCGTATACCATTAGTTGTCGCAAGATTACTTTTAAAGTAAATCAATGATGTTATAATTTTTGGCATGTACCTTTTATATAAAATTTTTAGGTTATATTTTCGCTGCAATCGAGTCATTATTGATTCTGGTATGCTCATTTTAAACAAGTTTCCTATGAATTATTGGTTTTCGCTAGATAACTTCTGAAAAATTTAAATTTTTGTGTATATATTTGGCAAGTATGTTATATCAAGACACAGTTTAAATACAGATTTCGCTGCAATCAAATCATTAATGATAGAGTTATGCCCCCTTTTAAGCAAATTTGTTTTGAAATTCTTCTTATCTTGGATTATCCAAATTTTAGAGCTGCCCATTTCTATTTTGCATGAAGTGTAATACCTTTGTGCCTTCATTTTTTATATTTATGGTTTAGATCATTCATAAGACGGTGTATATCAGTAATGTGTTACAGTCAAGAGTATTTGAAATTAACTTTGCCTTCCTTTTAGACCAATTTGGTACTAAAGGCAAATATATATATATGTATGGAAAGGCATATGTTTTTTTCATAATATGGTTCACACACAAATTGATCTATTTACAAGATATGTCTGGGAAGCTTCTTTTTCTATTACTGATCAAGTCAGTTTAGTTTCTTTGAAGAAAACACAATTTATTTTTGACAGCTATTAAATTGACTATCTATGGTCTGCTTATTTGTAAAAAATGTAAAGTAATTTACAACACACAGTATGAATGCTTTTTGAAACTCTAATTCACTTCATTCTTTTCAATTCAAAATATTGAAAACTTGGATTATTGTTTCTTTACTTAAAGCTACATACATGTATAGTGTAACGTTATAGATTTGTACATCGCAGAGCTATAGAGATACTATTTGATATGCTATATTTTGACAAATATGTTTGTAATTACATGTATTTGATTATTAATAAAAACTGTCAACATTTTTGTGGTCATTATTTTTAGGAAGTACTTTAACAAGGTATCAAAAAGAATCTTTCAAGTTTGATGGTCGATTAATACAACTTACAGGAATCCAGATTGACACATTAGGAAGATCACTAGATGAAATGGCTATAGGAAGAGGCACTTTTGGTACAGTATATCGTAGCAGTAAGTATATCCTCCTTTCCATATCACCGGATTTATATGTTCCAGCAGTATGCAATACCGAATGAACCATTTGATTATCTTAACAGTATGATAAATTATATTCCACGTAGATTTGATATTAAGGTTTTCAAAACAAAAAAAAGTAATATAAGATTAGTTAAAAAATATTTAAAGGACATAGAATAATTAAATCCCATATTATAAACTGTCAGTCATGGATCATATAACACGTTTTAGGGTCAAACGGGTCAAGATTATTTGGCTAAAATTAGAACAAATTGAAAATATGACAGCCGATAATTAGAAAAATATGAAGCAACAGATTATTATATTTTCGATACGGCCTTTATTGTTCGAAAGTATCATTTTTGTCCGGCCCATCACTCAGTCATGTATCATCATCACTCTGTCATGCATCAAAGAAATTAAAATAACTTTGAACAAATGTTTTGTATAATGCGATGGTGTGTCCTGCGTAAGACCTCGTACCTTGCTTGAAGAACAGGGTCATACTTACAGGTTTAGAGAATAACAAAGGTTTGTTCGGCCAATAACCCTGTTATGTATGAAGCTATTTTGAAATAAATTGTCATAAATGTGAAGCATCGTGAGACGATTTGTCATGCACACTACATAGACATCAGCTTTAAGGTCATGGTCATGCACAGTAGCTTATTTATGGTAAAATTATTCGTCTTTATCTCATGCACAAATGGAATATTATTTCAACTATAATTTACATATAGTTTTTAGCATACAGACGCAATTATTCAAAATAGGTACCAAGAGAGAGAAAGTTGTCTTTCTTAGTATATTAATATAAGTGTTTCATATATCTAAATTTTTTATCACAAATATAAGGAATCTGTCAATACCATGCATCGACATAATTCAATAAGTATCAATGCAATGACAGAATTGTTTGACAATTGCAATCTTATTATCTTTATTAAGATGATTCTGAAGTATTTGGAATTCCTGTCGCCGTCAAAAAGATACCAACAACGGTCAGTGAACGAGCCCAAAAACACGCCCGAATGGTATTTTTTTATGTCTTGCAAATATTTTTATATATATATTTCTTTTATACAATATTTGTGTCAAACATTATGATATGACTTATATATTTTTGTCCTGAAATTAAGTATTTACATATTTATTCAATTCATGATTAAAGCATTTTGTCAAATTACAATCGCTACCATTTAGGGAAAAACCTTATTTTACGCTAACGTTCTTCCAAATGCTTTTCATTTAAGGAAATGATGGCTATTAGACTATTGAATCCATTTATACTCCCGCTCATAGCTTTTGCTAAGACGTCAAATGGGTAAGCTTCATTCAAGTCGTGTTTTTTTCCTTAAGGTTAAAAAGCCTGATGTTACATTAATAAATCGACAGCATACGTTGTAATAGTTTTGTATAATTCTTTACTAAACACGTTTTACACTGCAAACATATTCTATATTGTTATTGAAAACTTCATGTTACACAAGCAAAAAAGAATTGCAACACTTAACTTGTTCTATTTGTGCAATTTGTAAACGTTTTGTATGAATATATTCAAATTGCTTAATTCAAATGTGTCATAAAGTGACAAAACCCAATTCAATAAATATGTCACGTAGTAAACGGCAGTGCGTCATAAATGACATTGCGATAGTTGTTTGAATAACAAATATCAAAGAAAGGTCATGGAAACGTAAAACTGCATCAGTGGTTCTACTCGTTTATCAGGTATTGCGTAAAACTAGGTGATAATAAAACGTACATCCAGACGCTTGATCTGCTTCACTTAGTGAACCATGGACTATCTTTCGCCAAACCGTAAGGTTTTCGTAGACACAGAAGAATTAATGCCCAGGACAGTCAGAGAACCGGATTCCCATCAGTTATTGATAGTAGAGTGATGTTAGTTAAAAATGCCGTTCAAACTGATCATCTTAAAACATGCACGACATCGCAAGTATGTGGGATGGCACATAAAATACTTACAGAAACATTATGTATAACTTGAGTCTCAGCTAGATAGATTCCAAATCGTTTACTGCTGACCAAGATATGAATTGAGGACTTCAGAGCGGTTTTATCGATCTAATAGGAGAGAAGATGACGCATAATGTGAAAGAAATATCACAGAAGCCGAATTATAATTAAACCACTTTGACCAAGAGACGAGTATCAGTTGTCAACGTGAAAGCGTTCGGTATCGCAAGCTCTAAATTTTACTCGCGGTTGAACGGGCATGCTACCAACTTGGTGACGGTAAATGCCGAGTACTACTACTACTAAAGGTTTGTTTAGTCATAAATAAATAGAAATAATACATATAATGCTAGGTATTTCTATTCTAAAATTGTTAAATAAACAATTTAAATCGTCAATATGAACCAATTAGATTAGTTTATTCAGTTTTATAAAATAATCACATTGCCCATGATTCGGCGCGATCTTCTTCAGGTCGTGTTATATACTACGTTCAGAAATAGAGGAGGAAATGGGAACATAAACCTACGTCTTGCCATTGCTACTTCTTACAAGGCAGAATCTACAATGCTGGAAGTAGATGTGATGTTTTTGAATAAGGTGGAACAACCACTTCAGTCGATCTTTTGCACTTATTGACATTACAGTGTTTCTTACTGTTGGACATCAAGCTCGATTCATAACAGAATTATGATCAAAAGTGAAAAGCATCATATCTTATATAGACGAAACTTTGTATTATAAGGGTTTTGAGAATGTGCGGATATTCATTCAAAATATATGCGCATGAAGGGGCAATGTTTTGTGAAATTATGACAACCGACGCAGTTAGCGTTACTTAGTATTGTTTAAACAAAACCGTTGACGTCATTGCGTGCTCCGGTGAGGAATTACAGCAAGTCTCTTTCATGTATATTTTTCATTTATTTTATCTTGTTATATATTGTTGATTTCAATGTAGTTTGTAACAGTAAAGTCGAGAAAACATTTCACATTTAATTTTCAAAAGTAATGTTGTTTGTCTAAATATTTTCGAACAACTCTCGTACTTTGATCTTGAATTTAGGATAACATTAGGACAGTTTTCTTTGCCTGATGATGTGCGTGTTCAAAGTTATATTTCATACGTAAGAAACTCTTGTCAAACTTGTACCTTTCACATGTGCAATTGTCTTGAGGTTGTTCATGTTGTTGGTGTAAATAAAGTATTTGCACGAGCAGAATAGGGCATAATATAGGTCTCAAAATGTGGCACAATGTCAAGGATGTTTGTGACATAGTCTGTCCCCTTTACATTACCAGAGGAAATTGACTTAACGATATATATTAAGTATATGCCAAGTTTTTAGCACGCCATGCACGTTTTTTAACATATTTTGTTAGCATAAATTTTCGTCCAGTTAGTGGAATTATCTTCTGCATACAATATTTCAAATTACGCCGTTCTTGACGCAAGTCTACCAATACTGTTTCGTGGGAAGAGTAAGCGAAGTACATCACCTAAACTACAACGCCTCATGTCTGGTTATTTTAAAACATATTATTATTCTTAAAAGCAGTTTGACGTTAGTTCAACCCAGATCGCTTTGATTATAATACGACATCTGTTTCTTAAGGTTTTTCTTACTTGGAGCTTATTGTTGATGAATGACGACATTATCTCTTGCAATGGCCTTCAGAGCGAAATCCGCCAAATGGATATACAATTCAATTAAACATCCTTCTGGAGTCATTTTTGAAAGTCTTAATAATAACTAACTAAGTTAAAATAAGATTCATTTTTGAAAAGTAAAGGGCTTGAAACTACAGTGTGTTGAAGGTTGGTGTCTGACATGTGTATGTTTCAATTGGTACACGATCTGTAAGCCTTAAACTTAAATACAGCGCAAGGTTTATGTCAGTATGCTTATAATTAAAATTATAGTATTAATGAAAATGGTTAAATAGTAGGCTTATGAACTAGGTGTTGTGATTCTTTTTTGCCATGTGTATGTATGTATTTCTATTATTTGAATGTAAACGTAAATAAGTGCACATTCTATTTTAATTGATAAGCCGTTTTCTTATCTAGAGAAACTTGGTTAATTACTCCCTATTTGGAAAATGGTGATCTCAAAAAGGCTATTAAAGATGGTAAAGCTAGTGAAGATAAGATCAATCTGCAGAGTACAACGAGTAAGGATTGCGCTGCACATTGCATTAGCGATAAAGTATATTCACACTGAAGTACCAAATGTTAGGTATCCATTTACTTATTTTTGTCACTTATTATTTATCGAGAGATAATATTTTACTCCTTTATGGGAGTTTATAATGTTACAGTAAGGTCTTAAGTTTTTTCATCAAAACTTTATACGTCTAATTCAACATTTCTTTTTGTTAGATAACCAATATTTGTTTAGTCTACATTTTCATATTATGTCAAACAATTATTTTTCACGGGTCACTGCTAAGGTTTTATTACATAAAAGAACTGGAAGTATTTTTTAATACTTAGAGATGTAGGTCTCGACTTATATCGTGTACGCAAAATTTCTGATCATTTCTTTCACTCCATTTGGCCAATGTCTTTTTTACTCAAAGCTGGATTCAAATAGTGAAGAAAAAAGCTTGAGGTTATTTTAGTGCATTACCTGATTTATGCAGGAATTTCAAATTCTATTTTATGATTTATATCTTAACCTCGGTTGAGGTTCGTTAATGCAATTTTTTATCGAATAATGTACTTTTTCTTTTTGTTATATTTTAATTTGTGTGAATAGGGTGCTATTTTCTTTCACAAGAACATAAGCATTTTCTTCAAATTGTTGTGGTTAATAAAGAATTACTGGAAATGCAACGTTCAGTAGGACTTTCGGATTGCCAGAAGAAATGATTACATCGACAACCTTACTCTTGAAAAAGCTGGTGATACAACCCCCCCCCCCCTCATCCTCAAAAAAGGGCAACGATGCTATTAAAAGAGAGTTTAGATTCATTATAACTTTGGGGAATAAGTAAGTTACACAGCAATCAAAATAAAATCTTTGTTAGTCTTTTTGTAATAATTTCTTGGTATAATTTAGTACGTTTCATGATTACGTATATCATTGGATTCAAATGTTTGCAGTAAGGACCTTATGTTGTGAACATTTTCTTAGGCCTCATGTGTCAAACATCAAATTGCTCTGTCCAAAACCTACATATAGAAATTATTTTTTTTAAAACATATTTATGCAACTTTTCATTTCATATTCAATAAAAGGACTGTTTGTAATTATAGCCAATCAAGTACAGTAAATTTAAGTGTTAGAGCCATTGTTAGGGATGTCAGATAGATATTACATAAATGTCTGGGTTTATTCGATTCAATTAAAGTGGTAAATTTAGGTACTGCTTTAAGAAGAACCTGAAATAATTAGAAACAAGCCAGTGTCATTCGAGTTATTGACGATTTGTTTCTGTTCTTTACATCATTCAAATTTAAAAAGTAACCGGTGTAAAGTATACCTATCTGCATGAACACACAGTTACAAATTAGTGGATAATAGTATAAAAACCGATGGGGACATTTTAACTTCATGAATTCCCGATTTCATCTTCATGAATTCCCGAATTTAACTTCACGAATTTTCGATCTTAACTTAACGAATTCACGATTTCAACTTCATGAATTCACGATTTCAACTTCGTGAATCACGACTTCACTATTTCAAGTTCATGAATTAACGATTTTAACTTCACGAAGTCACACTTTCAATTTCATGAATTCAAGATTTCAGCTTCACAAAGTCACAATTTCAATTTCATGAATTCACGATTTCAGCTTCACAAAGTTACGATTTCAACTTCATTAAGTTGAAATCGTTAATTTGTGAATTTGAATTCATGAAGTAGAAATCGTGAATACATGAAGTTTAAATCGTGAATTCATGAAGTTAAAATCGTGAATTCGTGAAGATGAAATCGTAAATTCATAAATCTTTATTTGTAATGTTGAAATCGTGACTTCGTGAAGCTGAAATAGGAATTCGTAAATTGCGTATGTTGAAAACGTGAATTCCGTATGTTAAAATTATGAATCCACTGAAGATGAAATCGGGAATTCCTAAAGTTGAAATCGCCCTACCGGCCTTTCATAGAATAATGTACGTCCCTGGGGTTCTATTCAGATGCTCATTCGTGCCTTCAATAATTTTTGCAACGGAAGGAGGCCACCTTGAGGTCTGTCCTTCACCAGTTAAAGCTGGGAAACATCGCCCATATGGGGACCTATACTGTGTCTGGTGTGTGGACGGTTAAAAAACAAAATCAAAACAAAACAAACACCACGTTTCTGGATGTCTGTCTGTCCTGTACCAATTATTCCTGAATGAAAAAACTATGTATTATGAATATTTTAGCGCATGTCAAATTTCGAGTAGTCTCGAGAATACGTTTATGAAGTCAACACGCTGTTTTGCCCCTATTTTTTAATTTTTAAATTTTGCCCCTCCCGTTCCCCGTTTTTCAAGTCCCCTTCCCTGGGCCCTTTTACTTTATGGGCCTATCAATCTGTTAATTGTATTTGGTTTCCTTATCGGTTACTTTTATTTCCTATTGTGTATTATGAATTGATTATCATGTCGTGTTCTGCCTTGTGTCCTGACCTATTTTGTTTGGGGTCCTCCCGGCCGCTGGTCCCTGTTGCTGGGTTTTGTGGGGGTTGCGTTCATTGAACGCCGCTTTTCCTTGTTGATCTTGTTTACTATATTTTTTATTTCAATATTTGTAAAAGCAATTAATTATGACCAGAATATCGCATCAGTTATTTACATTGTAAATGAATTTTTCCAAATTTTCATGGATTTAAACTTAAAATGGTATTGTATGGGAAATGCGATTATAAATTGTAGTTTAAATATAAAATTTGCGTTTCACTGTATTTTGTTATATCTATCAGTTATCCGGGAACTTTTGACAAGCCTTGGACCCGCAGAAAAAAATCCAGTTCACTTAGAGAACATGAAAGTAAATCAGATTAAAGATAAATTGGATGTAAGTTTTTAGCTTTTCCTCTTAGTTTTATATGAAAGAGGATTTTTGTTGCATGTAATATCGAAATATATTTCATTAAGTTAACACCGGATGCAATAGTTGTGGAAAATATAACAGCTCGTTCTCAGCAATTAAATGCAAAATTTATCTTACATGACAAACGATCAAATTGTTATTAAGTTGCATGTTTTAAGCGGTTTTAAGTTATGTTGATTTATTTTTCTGCAACAAATTTTGCGCTGAAGTATTTTTGCGTCACGAAGTATTATGGTATCACAATTTTCGTGTTAAAAATAATTCTGTTTTTAGTACTCACAAATTCAAATATAGGTCGTGTACTGAGAAAATTATGTTTTGATAATTTCATTGTAAATGTGTCATAGTACAATTTCACTTGCTTCTGTAAAGCATTTAATTAGTAAATTAATTGCTTTCACTTCACGCTTACTATTTTTTTTTTGAAGTTCGATACTGAAAATTAGGTTTGTCTTAATATGTAGAAAAGTAAATTGACTTTTAAACATTATATATTATAGAATGCAACGCAAAATATCTTTTTTTTGAAAAAAAAATAAAGTTAGATATAAGTAATAATAAATAAACGATTCTTGATAGGAATATAACATATTGAACTATTTTTATATTTGATCTTCATGTTTTAAACAAAACATTGATTTTGCTTATGCTTTTTAACAAGTTACATGAACAAATAAACTTTTAACTTATATATTTGAACGTTATATAGAATCTTGCCATGTTTAATGTACTTAAAATTAGTCAGGAAACTAGCATTTTAACAATTTCTTTGTTTTTATTCAAATGTTTGTTATTAAATAACAAAGTAGTTGTCACGACTTAAAGAGGCATGAATGCTTTTAAATGATCCACATAAGTTATTGAAACAACGATTTATTACAAGTTATATATGTATGTTAGTATATGTATATTAGTATATGTTTTTTTGATATTTAACCTTTAAGATTTGATTTATACCAATAATATTCAGAAATTCAATGGATTGTTAAACAGACAAAATAACTCCACAAATATTTAATAACAAAAAAGGCAAGGGTATTTAACAATATGGTTCCCTTTATTTCATAATTTATTACCTGGCAACTCATACCAATAAGATGATTCAATAAAGAAGTTATTATTAAAGGTGATTATATTTTTGACAGGCCATTTTTGTTTATAATTCAATATCCTGCATGCAAAATAGTGCTGTTCTAGGATGTAGATTTGAGCTTGAATCTGCATTATTATCCGTTATCAGAAAACTAGAAATTAAGCCTTTTAATTCTTTTAAGTTATAATTATGCTTTTTAGCTTACTTGGTCAGAATGCTTGTCTAGGTAATTGATCGGAGAAATTTGAATATGGGTCATCTCATTTGAAAAACTAGGTCACAGGAACTATGAATATAAAAATCTTGTAAACACTCTAGTGACTACTGTTTTGATCCAAATACCCTGGAAATTGGTTTGAAAGTTTGTTTTGATGATTTGTATGTCAAGATATTGGTCACCTGGGGTCAAAAACTAGGTCACACTGCGCAGATATGGAAAAACCTTGTTAACACTCTGGTGGTCACATTTTTGTCTTAATTGTCATCAGACTTATATGTATGCCAGTATGCTTGTCTAGGTAATTGCTCGGATGAACTCGAACATGGGTCATCTCGGATGAAAAACTAGGTCACAAGACTAAAAATAATAAAATATTGTTAACACTCTTGGGGCTTCTGTTTTTATCGAAAGTTTGTTTTGATGATGTCAAAGACAAGTTTGAATATAGGTCACCTGGGGGCAAAAACTAGGTCACACCGCCCAAATATTGAAAAAACCTTGGTAACACACAAGTGATCACATTTTTGGCTCAATTGTCATCGAACTTGGGCAGGATACTTGTCTAGGTAATTGCTCGGATGAGTTCGAAAATTGGACATCTCGGATGAAAAACTACGTCACAGGAGTCCGCGTCCAGATATCAGATTGAAGTTTTGGTGCTGTAAAATATTTTTCGCTATAACT